TCTGCGCGCAAGGTCTTGCGCCGACGCGGCGCGCAATTCAAGTTCCTGGGAGAATCCAAAGAAGTCTAGGCACCATTCTGCGTCGAGTTCGACGATGCCAAGTGCGCCAGTCAAGAGGCAGCGTCGCAAGTGCAAACGCGGCTGCACCGCCAACTCGAACCGCGCGCCTCTCGATCCGAAGTAATCGCGCATGCCGCCATCGGCCCAGCCTGCCAGCACGACCCCGCATGGGACCTCGCGCCCCCGGAAGAAGCCACGGGCGAGCAACCAAACCTGAACGAGTTGCGGAGATAAGGCGAGGGTCGCGTCGACAACGTCGCGGAAATGGAGAAGGCCCGCAATGGCCTCAACCCCAGCGCCCTCCACCATCAAGGGCAACGCCTCCGCATCTGCACGCCCGCGCGCCGCTGCGTTCGGCGCCCCGCGTCGCACCAAACATGAATAAGGATCCCAGACTTCGGACTTCCAAGGGACCGCCCGTTTCAACCAAGGGTCAAGCAAAGTGGACATGGTTACTTGGGTGGACCCTTCCGCCAAAACGTGCCTGTCCAAGGCGTCGGGCATGTCGGGCCATCTGGGAGGGGCGTCGGCATGGTGGTGCAAGAAAAGGCATTGGCCGCGTCGATGGCACTTGCAGCGATCTCCAAACCTGCCCGCGGGAGGGTTGCGGGGGCGCCTGCGGGAGACGGACCTCAGAACCTCCGAGCTCTGAGAGGGAATCGCACCGTGCATCTGCTCAACAGCCCGCCGCGCCCCCCTGCGCATTGAGATGGCGACCGCACGCCCGGGGATGGAGGCGAGCACTACGCGCGCAGCGCGATGAGCAGAACGGCGCTGGAGCCAGAGTCGCCCTGCACGTTGCACATGAAAAAGCGACGCAGCCAGTCCGCCAGCGTAGACGCCGTCGCCCCTGACCCCGAAGCCTGGGGGGGGCCATCGTCAGCTGCTGGCGCAGTTGGGCGCCCATTGCCAACAGCTGCTCCCTGGCCGCCACGGGGAGCGTCATAGGCGACAGTCGGGACAAACGCCAGCGCCTCAGCGTTGAAGACGATCGGCGCCCCAGCCCGGCGCCCCTCCCTCGGACGCACGATGCGACGCAGGCGAGGGCCGCGCTGCGCGGCACGCCAGGCGCGGGCAGGCGCCCCTGCACGAGGGAGCCATCGGGCGTGCTCGGAAACGTTACGCTGCAAGACTTGCTCGTGGTCGACTGCCGGCCCCCCGAGGGCTGCTGCGAGGGCCGGCGCGGAGAGCGTCAGCCGCCTGGCCACCCAAGGGACGTCGCACGCTGGAATGATGCGGTACGCCTCGTTCCGCTCTCGCTGCAGCCGGCGGTTCAGCCCTTCCAAGGAGAGCCTGGCCCCACGCGCAGCTGCCCGACGAGCGGCATGCGTCGGCCAGCGAACCCCAGCTCCGCGTGCACGAGGCGCTCTTCGCAGAGTCGCGGCAGTACCCACACCGCCCGAACCGGCCATGGCGAGGCCGACTTCCCGCCCATTTCAGATGGCTTGAGCCAGGCTACGGAGTGGTGGGGGAACTTTTTTGGTCGCGGCCGCGAGACAAGGGTCAGGCGGCAAAAGCAAAGTCCAGGGCGCGAGCGAGGCTAATTAGTTACAACAGGCACAGGCCGGCCGGCCCGCTCACAATGCAGCCGCGAAGCCGAAGGGGAGCTGACGGCAGGGTATCCTGAGAGCTCGAGCACGTGCACAGACAGTGTCAGGGATGGACAGACCCCCCTTTAGTAAAACGTGGTTTAGTGAAAACGACCTGAGGCCCAAACCTGGCGGGCGCAAGCCTGGAAAATAACGGCCACGGCGCCCTCTCGAGAACCGAAAACGGACAATTCACTAGTCGACGTGTCACTGTTGGGGGTTCTGTCCACCTCCGACAGTGGTGGGGATACGCGAAGCGTCTAGAATTTAAGTCACCGTTTTTTTTCGGGTACGCATGCATAAAGATGATAATATAAGCATAATACACGAATTCATGTTAGTGCAACCATAATCCTGCTCAACCTCATCGTCATCATCGTCATCAGCATCATCATCACCATCACCATCACCATCACCATCGCCATCACCATCATCACCATCATCATCATCATAATAATCATCATCATCATCATCACCAGCAACATCATCATCATCCATCATCAGTCATCACCATCATCATCATCATCATCATTATCATCATCGTCGACAGCATCACCATCACCATTACCATCACCATCATCATAAGCATCAGCATCGTCCTCAGCATCATCATCATTGTCGTCGTCATCATCCTCAGCAGCAGCACCAAGATCGGCGTCAGCATCGTCATCAATATAATTTTCCAAGATAATCTCATCATCGTTATCCGAATCGCATTCATCATCAGCAGCAGCAGCATCATCACTGACGACATCATCATCATCATCATCATCATCATCATCATCATCATCATTAGCATCCTCATTATCATCATCATTATCATTAATATCATCATTAGCATTAGTATTATTATTATCATTTTTATTATTATCAGAATCATCATCACTGGCATCGTCATCGTCATCGTCATCGTCATCGTCATCATCATCATCATCATCATCATCATCATCATGGTCATCATCGACACCATGATCGTCATTACCATCGCCATCACCAGCATCACAATACGATTGCCTTATTGACGATGGTAACCAGTATCGCAATAATGAACATGACACTGCCATTGACATCATCAACAACAGTATCATCACCATCATGATCTTCGTCATCATCGTCACCTGTCTCATAATCGTAATGAGTATCATCACCGTCATCGTGACCATTACAACCCTCACCATTCACCACCATCGCGCCATCATAACGATCTGACCATCGTCATCCGTAGGAGTCTGGGCTCGGGCTCGGGTGTGGTTTGAAGATGGGCATGGCTCACGAGGCGGACTCGGGCGTGGCTTAATAGAAGCCGAGAGATGCGGGCATGACTTGCTGGCATGTGTCCCATCTTGCTCTGCACTGTGCACCGTCGATCCCAACATGATGTTGTTTCTTGGTGATCATATCAAGTACTGATTTGCATCACGTGGTCCCAGCCGTTCCCTAAGAGGCAAGACCCGCCAGCTTTGAACAAACCCCGAAGCCTCGAGCGCAAGGATCCTCATACAACAAATCGAATATCTCCCTTGCTCCTTCCTCGCCCTCAAGGCCGTCCACAACGACCGTACAACCAAATACCGGCCGAACCGGCAGCGAAATCGAAACCGGCCGCCGAAACCGACCTGCCGCAAGCAACCTCAGTAGGAGGGCGCAGCGACGGAGCAACGACACGGCAACCGACCGAACGCGACCATCTGCAACGCAACCGAACCGACCGAATCGCCGACACCCTCCGTGCCCCCAGACCTGGGCCCTGCTCGCCGCTCCGCCGGTGCGCGGCTGGCGGAACACAGCCGCTCCGCGTGGCCCGCCTCGCGCCCTGCACTGGCTGCCTCGCTGGCGGGGTCGCCGCCGCCTCCCAGTGGGCCACGAGGAGCTCGGCGCAGCGCGCCTGGACGCAGGCGCACCGCCCTGCACCGCCCTGCCGCACCGCCCTGCCGCGGGCGGCGCTGGCGGAGCCGTGCTCGTGATCCCGCTGGTACGGCCGGCGCGCTGGGCTGCTGGGTGTTGGCCGCAGGTCGTGCGGGCTGTGGGCCTCTGACTGGTGGCGTGCCGGCAATCTCCATGCCTTGGCCCGAGCGCTGGTGCGGGTGCCTCGGTCGTGGTGCGGGCTTTGTCGGCCGACTGCGCGAACGACAGCGGCAGCGAAGGATGATCTGATGCTCATCTTTTGCTCATGACAGCGGCGGCGGCGGCGTTCATCTGTTGCTCATGACGCTCCTCCTGGAGTCGGTCGCCGTCTGCACCGGCTCCTGCGGCCCGCCCTCCCCTACTCTCTTCCACAGCCTAGGGGATTCTTGGCGGTCTAGTTTGCATCCCCAGGCTGCCCAGCCCCAACCCCCCGGCCTGTACTGACACCGCTGCTTCCCAGGCCCTCTCCCAGGGTGCGCTCGGACCGCCGGGGCGGGCCCGGCCGTGGCGGCGAGGGCCCCCCTGGGAGGCCCAAGAAGGCGAGATCAAAGGGAGGGCATCGAACGTGAGCGGGACGCATACCCATAAGACCACCCTGCAGGCGATAAGGAAATCAATTGTGGGGTGGGGCTTATGATGCCTGGTTTGAACTCGCAAGCAACGGAACCACCTTGGGACAAAAACTGGACAACCACTGCACAACCATCGGGACAGCAAAAACGGGAGAACTGCGGGACGACCATCGGGAATCGGGACAACCACGGGACAACTCAGGGCACGCCCTGGCGCACGCAGGACAACCCCAGGTACCAACCTGGACGGCTGGACGGCGGGAACACGACTCATTTTGGCGTGGCCTGGGCCTAGCGCTGCCCCGCCTTGTCCGCACGCACGTCATGCACGACACGAACCGAAACACGGGCAACCGATATCCTGGATTCGGGGCCTCCGTTTCACGTCGGGTTCCCCCCACCTCTCCGTGTTCAAAGCATGGCAGTCTGGCACCCTCGGCTGCGACCCCATGGAGGCAGGACAGCTTTGGACGTATCCATGGGTCCGTGCCTCGGTATCCAGACCGCGAGGGAATTAGTATGGATACGTTCGTCGCTTGTGAATCGGCATCGGCATGTCTCCCTCCCCTTGACCATGCTGGCCTCGGCCAGGGAGGCGTACACAGTATCATGGGGCCCAGGATGGCCCTGGTCTGGTATGGTGGGGGTGCATATGAGCCCTCTGCGGATCACGCGTCTTTTGATTTTCGGACGCATGAGACAGCCGTTTGGGAAAATGCGGGTCTTCCCTGAAAGCTCTTAAAAAGGCAAAGCTGATAAGGACCACGCCAGGGCCCGAGAACCTCCAGGTTTCTAGACACACTTCAAAAAAAGATCCACCCGGACCTGACTGCGGACCTGACCCTGCGCGCTCGCCCCGCGCCGAGGCCGCGGCACCATCACGTCCGCAAGCGGCAGCGCCGCTCCCCCCGCGCCCTTCGACGCCCCCCCAGCGGAGCCGTCCAGGCGCGCCTCGACGAGCCTCCCGACCAGGTCCTCGGCGACAGGGCGAGAATGACTCCTGCACAACCTCCTCCGCCTCCTGCTCATTCGTCGCGTTGTTCCTCCTAGAAGACGAAGCCAAGACGAGGACTAACGCGCGCGAAGATAAACCGAGAATCTCAGAGATCCGGCGGCTGTGGAGGATGTATGGGGCGCCGCGGCCTTCTCAGAGCGTTCCAGAACGCTCTGAAAGCGTCCCGGAACGCTCATGAACAGACTTATCCTCGCCAAGCCCCGTCCGAGCCTACTTTTTGACGCTGCACATATTTCAGGCGGAAGCCTGGAGCATTGTGCGTACGAGAAAAAACGCAATATGCCGACTGCGGCAAAGAGCGAAATAATCAAGCCTGGCGGGCGCAGCTGAGATGGGCAAGGCAGAGAGATGCGAAAAGGGCACAGGGCCCTAAGGCATATAGTCCGATCCTCCTCCCCCCCCCGTGTGGATGATCGCAGAGCCCATGTTGCATCCACCAAGAGCCTCCCTGCGAGAGTTCGCCCCCGGATCGTCGAGGACTTCGGCGCCGGTGGTGCGTCGCTGTTGTCACGGTCGAATTGGCGCATGTGTCGATGCCAAGCGGTGGTGCGCGAGCTGTCACCGAAGTGCATGAACTCTCTACATTTGGCCCTGTCTACATGGTTGCAGTCGCGCGCCGGCGCGTCGCGGGCGCGCTCGGGCCATCTTGCCACTTCCCACTGGCGGTGTACATCGTCTTGCTTAGTCGTAGTGTCGGCAAGCAGTGTGACGTCGTCTGTAATGAAGTCGATCCAAGTAGAGGCCTCTGTCGTTGTTGTTGGTGGTTGTTGTTGCCGTTCGTGGCTGAGGTCGAATAGTCTCCCTGAGATGCGCGAAACGTGCGTTGCCAATCTGGCTAAGCAAATGAATCGACCGGGTCGGAACTCGGCTTGAAAGTCGACTGTTTGTGTTACAGGAAGGAGTAGCTGATATGTGGTGTGGGCTGCTTGCTCTTGCAAAACATGCGTCTTTTTGGTGCAGCGACATGCGCTGTTGCACGCCGGTTTCAGTTGTGCTGCCGTAGTTGTCATGGGTGGATTCCATGTCTCTGCTAGGTGGAAGAGGGAACAGTCGGCGAATGTGTCCGCCAGACGCACCATAATGCCAGTCTTGAGACGGATATCTTGAGCTGAGTGGTCCTGAGGTGTCAATGCTGCGCTCTGTTTGGTGATCTGGTGAACCGTGCGGATAGCGGTCGTGCGTTCCAGGCTGCAACGAGTCCCAGGACAGTCGCACATGCGCGTGCAAGTAAGGTACTGGCCCCAGATTGGGCAGTAGATGCTGAGCTCTGTTTTTGCGAGTAGTCCCTGTTTAGCTCGTTCGGCGCCTTTGCCTGCCCGGCGCATCGTAAAAGATGCCTTGCGCAGTTTGTAGTTGAGCTTGAAGCTGTAGCTGGTGAGCGCAGCGTGCGTCGTCGTTTGCTAAGTCAGCAACTCGGTGCTCAATGAGGTCGTTCTTTTTGCAACGTGCCTCAATTAGAGTGTCGTCTACGAATGCTGCGTTCGTCGCGTAGTGGTCTTGTCGTGTACTTGATCGTTGGTAGGGCGAACGCATAGGCGCTGCTGGTGTAGGTAGTCGGATCGGACTCGCGCAAAGATGCCATGATCCGCCGGCCCCCTTGTGGGGCCACCAGGCTGTAGGAGCGAGGTTCGCAGTTTCCTGTACCAGTTGTAGCTTGTAGTTTCCAAGGTTACAATTCTGCTTGTTGCTGGTTACTGTAACTAGTTGACTTATTGCTGGTTACTGTAACTAGTTGATTGACCGCGCGAGGGGGGGGGAGGCCCAAACCGGCTTCTTAGCACCCCCTGGGCGCGTTGTCTGAATTGCTGGGGGGGCTCGAAATCGACACCCCTCACGCAGATCCGCGGGGTCAGGGTCCAAAAACACAAGCGATTTGCCACATTTCTGAAATTCGGTGCCACCCCTCACGCAGATCCGCGGGGTCAGGGTCCAAAAACATAAGGGATTTGCTACATTTCTGAAATTCGGTGCCACCCCTCACGCAGATCCGCGGGGTCAGGGTCAGGGATTTGCCACATTTCTGAAAACCCCTCACGCAGATCCGCGGGGTCAGGGTCCAAAAATTTGCCACATTTCTGAAATTCGGTGCCACCCCTCACGCAGATCCGCGGGGTCAGGGTCCAAAAACACATGGGATTTGCCACATTTCTGAAATTCGGTGCCACCCCTCACGCAGATCCGCGGGGTCAGGGTCCAAAAACACAAGGGATTTGCCACATTTCTGAAATTCGGTGCCACCCCTCACGCAGATCCGCGGGGTCAGGGTCCAAAAACACAGGGGATTTGCCACATTTCTGAAATTCGGTGCCACCCCTCACGCAGATCCGCGGGGTCAGGGTCCAAAAACACAGGGGATTTCTGAAATTCGGTGCCACCCCTCACGCAGATCCGCAGGGTCAGGGTCCAAAAACACAGGGATTTGCCACATTTCTGAAATTCGGTGCCGCCCCTCACGCAGATCCGCGGGGTCAGGGTCCAAAAACACAGGGATTTGCCACATTTCTGAAATTCGGTGCCACCCCTCACGCAGATCCGCGGGGTCAGGGTCCAAAAACACAATGGATTTGCCACATTTCTGAAATTCGGTGCCACCCCTCACGCAGATCCGCGGGGTCAGGGTAAACAAACACATGGGATTTGCCACATTTCTGAAATTCGGTGCCACCCCTCACGCAGATCCGCGGGGTCAGGGTCCAAAAACACAGGGATTTGCAACATTTCTAAAATTCGGTGCCACCCTTCACGCACATCAATCGCAAGGCGTGGTAATCCAAACTGCGAGAACTCCCTCGGCCCTTTAATCGCAAGGTGTGGTAACCAAGCCCGTAAACCATACACGTTTTACCAATCACCAGGTGTGGTAACCCCTCTTGTGATCAGTTGGTTTTGCTGATTGCGAATCGGCTTCGCATGAAGTTTCGATACTGCTTCACGACAGCGCCAAGGCCTCATGGTTTAGCTCTTCCATGGCCTATTATCCGAGAGAGGGGGCCGGCGGCAGGGGGCGAAGCCCTTACGGATAATATATTGTTGGCTAGGTCGTCGGGTGGTCTCGAAAAAATTCGGTTGTACGCTTCGTCTGCAAAGGCGTTGCCCGGTCTTGTGCCTTTTGGGGGTTGCGTTGTAAGCTGAGAGTGATCGCGCGTGAAGTGCGAGGCACTGTAAGGCTCGATGTCGTGGCCTGCTAGATGCTCATCGCAGCGATGAATGTCTAGCATGCCAGTCTGGTGGGGAGGTGCTTCTGCAAGTGGCATCAACGGCGGGAAACTCAAATATGATGGTAGTTTTCGTGGTCGGGAAAAGCTGCACAGTCGAACGCGCAGTCTCTCTTGCGGCCGCGTGGAAGGCTGATGCGGGGTCGATGCAATAACACAGTGTGATGGTTATGTTCCTCATGTTATACTTGGCGATGAGAGCGGCTGCGCTCGCTGCAATTGATGTCGATCCGCCTGGAAGCCCCGCGCACTGAATCGGAAGGACTGCTTTGCACACTTCGAGCTACAAGGCTCTGTCGGAGGTCGGTAAAATGCAATTCGGGGATCTGTGGTGCGAGTCGAGGTGTGTGCTGGGCTGCATGGCTGGTAGCTCCTCGGCCCTGTGCAATGGCATTCCAGGGCCATGCTTCCACAGTGGAGGTTCTTGTTGAATAAATGATGCCGTGAGTAGTAGTGGGCGTGCGTGCCTGGCAGTGCCAGCTGGCGGTGCTTTAAGCACATCCAAAGTGGCCATGTCAAGTCCTGGCCGTTCGCGCCGCTTCGCGTCTCTAGTGCGCGTTTATGACTTAGGTAGTGAAGTGACGAGGTCCTGAGGGCGGGCGCGACACGTGGTTTGAGCGTCTGTTGCAGCGCAGGAGGGTGCCTTGATCGCCCGCGAGCTGGGCTTCTTCCTGTCTTGAGAACTGCTTCGCGGATTCGCATGCTCCTTGTTCGTGATTTCCTGATATATTTCCCACTGCGTCGGTGAAGAATGGCATGGCCTGTCTCTCGGCTGCGCGTTCTGGTAGTTAACCCGTAGCGTAGTGCTGCCTTAGCGCGTTGTCGTGCTGAAGTGGTCGTGCTGGTCGTGGGAGCTCTGGGACTTGTTGGATAGCGACGTGATGTGGTCAGCTCGGTCTTGCTCGAGTTGTCGAGCACGCGATGTTTTGGCTGCTGCTAGAAAATGTCGCGCTGCATGTTCCGCAGCGTGGTCTGTTGTATATGGATGTGTACAGGTGCCCTATGTAGTCTGCGCTTGCGCTGGTCGGTGGGTTGTCATGTAAAATAGATACAGTGATGTCGTCGTTAAGCTTGTGCAACATAGTAGCCGCGCTCGTAGATCTACGCGGTCGTAGCCCTGATGTAGCGCATCGTCTAAGTCGCAGGTCGCGAGAGCTTCATGGTGTCCATGGTGGTGCAGGCTTGGCGCGGCCTAGAATCGCCGGTAGGGAACATGGCGCGGCTGCTGCGCGAAGTGCGTTGGAGGTCTGCTGGCGGTGCCGGCTGACGCGCGCGCCCCACAGTGGTAACGGCTAATTGAAGAGTGGGTGGGCGAATCATGCTGCTCTGGTTCGGTATCGCACGTTCGCTGGGTCACATGGAGGTGGCTGTTTGCTTTTAGCTTTAAGGTGTGTTCGCATGTCCTCGATGGTCAGGTAGATGGCAAAATCGTCTTCGTCCGTGGCTCTTGAGTCGTGGCGGTGATCGACATGTGGGTCGGTGGCGCAGGGTGGCCAGTCAGTGGCAAATGCTATGTCAGATTTTCTGCGCCTCGCCAACTTGCCCATTGCCTGTTTGACCACTGCATGCGCCGGTACATCGTTGATTACTGCGTTGGTGCATGTAAAACCGCGGGCTGCCATGGTTAGTCGCATTGCGTCGCAGAGTCGTCTTCGCCTGCTTGCCGATGCGCTGGTGGTGCTACATCGCTGACGCCCGGCGAAATGTTGGCGTTGGTACGTCAATAAAAATACGCGGGTCTGCTT